TAAGTTTGCTAAAAGGTTGTACATTTCCTTTATTTGTATCAATGCGTTTTAAAATTTAAATTTTTTGCTGTTGAGTAGCTTTTTTTGTGGGCAGCTTAATGTTGAACTCCCGCTCGAGGGTGCGCTCCAGGACAGCTTCGTTTATCTGCTGAAACGGGTTCTCGCACACTCTAACCATCTTTTCGCAGACATCATCCACAAAGGTATTTGCCAACTTGGCGAACAGATCCAAAGCGAGATCATCCATTGTACACATTGGGTCGATAGCTTGAACAAACTTACGAAGGTTTTCCTTGCTGGCAATCTGTGAAGGATAATTTGTTTTTTTACCAATACCTAATAGCCCTTAAATTTGAAGGTTACTCACATTGTAGGCGATTTCGCATGATTCGTCACGGGTTTTAAGATCATCGCTGGATATTTCGATGCAATCCTCTGACTCTGTCTCAACAGAGTCGACGCTCTCATCAGATGAGAAAATCTCGTCTTTCACTGTCTCCATGGTTTAATGAATTAATTGCAGCTTGTCGTTAACATAACCTGATTATGACAAGCAAACGCTAGAACTAGTTGGAAATTAGAAAGTTCTCAAAATGAAATTGAAACTGACATTGTCATAGCATACCCCTTGGCGCTTAGCTTTCTTTAGACTTCAAAATGTCTTCTGGTGCGTTGGCATTACTTTCGCCCGAATGAATAAACTCTTTTCTCTCTGGCACTGCTATAAATAACAAGTTTAAGTCGCGCTCTCCTCACCTGATTGACTGCTCCACCATTGTTGCCTTAGTTTCCTTTTTCCGCAGTGCTGCGGCTTTCCCTTTGGCTTTTCCCTTTGGCCTTTCCCGCTGTTTCTTCTTGTTTCGAATTGCGCTTTTGATTTATGGCATGCTCCTGTTTTTCGTTTCACATGCTTCTCTTGAAAATAAATATCAAAAAGCAACAAATTGCGGCGCTGCCATAAACGACCTACGTCTAAGCCTCAGACTCTGGCAGGTGACGACGGCCACAAACAGAAGGAATACAACTGCGACGATGTCGCACTTGGAGCTTAATTTTATGCCAGACCTAGTTTGGGGGCAAGGCCAACACGTGCCCAGGTGTCCTGCCAGCCTATTATGCTGTTTGTTCTTTTCGCACAAGCCAATGAACAGTGGGACAAACCACGGGCATTTCGACTATAATTTCAATCTACTAATTTTTTTATTTTAAATAAAAGAAAAAATAATATCAAAATCCAAGTTATGCTAGTTATATTCTTGAATACGGATTAAATTTTCTACTAAAGCACCAAGAACCCAACAACATACATATGTAGATTCATCAGAATGGATTTTTATTGATGTTTCTATGCGTATCTTTTTGTGTTTTAGTGAACACAGTTTTATATGTAAATTTGTTACTTAATATCTTTATTGTTCATGCCATGGCACAATAATTTATTACAGTCTAAAATTGTGTGTCATTTTACTTTGTTTCGCATTGCACACACTTTGTAGGTGCTTCTGGGTGTCCTCGGCTTAATAAAGTCGCCTACTTAAAGCCAACGACAATGACATTGTGCGTATGCTGCTAGTCGGCTCTAGGGTCGGAGGAGAATGACGATGTGGAAGCCCCTTTGGCCATGTGTCACACATCCGCATCCGGTGTTGGCATTGGCATTAGGCTGACTGTCCCCCTGCCGCGGTCGCACTCTGGCGTCTGTCGTATTGCCGTTTCCGGCATGCGACTCTTTTATATCGTCGGTTTTATTTGCTCTGTGCACTCTTTTGCCACTACCATTGCCACAGCCATTTTCCCTGATTTTTGTTTCATATTTTGGTCCATGGCCTTTGTGCTTAGTCGGAAAAGTAAAGAGCATTTGCCGTTTAGCTTTAAGTGTTTCAAGTCCCATAAATTTCACTTTGTAAGCGCCTTTAATCGCTCAAGCCCACCAATCAGACAGCCATTGTGACTATGTTGAATAGAATGAAGTCCGGTTGCGAGAGATTAACTTCTACGAGACATGACTTAAACATGAACAAGCCGTACGCGCTGTTACGCATGCAAAATTTGTCACTTGTGAGGCAGTGATTTTAGTCTTTGTTCGAATACTTTAATAGGGCTTATTCATTGGGGTTACTCCATACAAAATGTTATCATTTGTTATCAATAGTACACATTCCCAATTCCATTTTAGTGGTTCTTCTTTCATATATATATGTATATCTTCTCCTTGCAAAGAAATTTCTTTTAGAACAAAGTTTTCAACTGTTTTCCAGCTTTTGCTCTCCAAAGTTTTCCTCACACCCACAAACACATATCGTATGTATAAAGACACCATGAACGTTTCACCCACTTTCTTTTTATGAAGTGCTAATTTGCTGTCGTTGGTGGTGTATAAAAAATGACAGCCTAAGTTGCCAAAATGCTTGAATTAATCACACATTTGTCAAAATTATTCAAATGTCTTTTATACCAGAATGGGGATGTAATGTGAATGGAGGGGTGAACAGACATACATACGTAAATAGTTAATACAAATTCCATGGCATTTCCGGGCATGTGGCTGTGACTGCCTCCTACTTACTGAATGTCTTGCTGTCTGCCTGTGTGTTCCAGTTCCAGCTCCCGCGTTATATATTGTATGTGTGTAATAAAGCTAATGAGTTTCTGCCATGTCTGGCACAGTCTCGGTCCCAGACCCAGACGGAAGCTAATTCCCAGTCGGTGGCAACATGCACTCGCATTTGCAGGCTTTCTGCCATTAAGAAAGGTTTTATATCACATGATTATGGCATTTTGCTGTTATGTTGTTTACATATGAATATTGTATGCCTCGTATTCAGGATCAGAAGCAGACTAACAATCGGAGACAGAGTCACAGTCCCACAATTCTCATTATAAACTTTTGCCACACGCTGTAGCTGCGGGTTAAATTGCGTATACAGATATCCTCGTACGTTCCGTGTCTGGCATTTAAATTGAGTTAAGTCGAGAGAAAGTCAGTCTCTTAAAATACACACACACACACACACACACACACACACACACAATAACACAGAACTCAGCATCTGCATCAGATTCACATTAATGTTTCGTAAATGCAAAAAAGCAACGCATTTATAATTTTTTCTCCATTTAAGTTTTTTAATTACACTTAACGGTCGGCGAGAACGATGGCAAACCCGGAATGGAAATGAGGTAGAGGAAAACGAGCAGAAATCCTTTAATAGTCGTGGCGCCATTTCGTCGCCAGCATCGTCGCTTAATCCTTTAGCGGCATATTTATCAACGAGTCCCGCTACTTAATGCGGCGCATTTCCATGCCGAGCACGCGGCTTTCCATCTCATCCTGCGCACAGTTACGGACGAAGCCAAACAATAAGAATCGCTTGCCGGAAAATGTGGCTCTAAGCCAACATATACACGCACACGTCCATAGTCCTTATCTGTTGCAGTTGGCTTACAGGTTGCTAACTCTCCCAGTTATGGGGTGTGGGCATTCGACAAAAAATGTTGATGAAAGTATGAAGAGTGATGGAAACACCTCGCTTATGGCTAAAATTCAATTTGCAAACAGGAAATTAATTTTTGTTCATTCTAATCAGTATGGGTAACCATTTGAGGCTCGTGGAGGTGATACTGGATATTATGCGATCAAGCTAGGAGGACTCAAGGCTGTCCTTGAAAAAATTGATCAAATTGGAACGAACGCTGAAAAATTCTTGATTTTAAGGAGATGGAAAATTGAATTGCATAGTCCTTTAAGATTGGAAATCATGACAACAATAAGCCACTGCGAAAGATGAAATCTTTACATATTTAAGAGAAACAAATAACTCAATGTCTAAACAAAAGTTCCAACGTCCAACTAAATTTTTCATTCAAGTGTTTCCCTCGGCACTTTTAAACATTAAGCAAATACTTCAACATTTTTCCTTCAGCATATTCTGGCTCTGAAATATATGAAGAGCATTTAATCGTGAGAAGTACTTTAATAAAAATTGATTCGATAATTTAATTGAATTTCTCTTCTCTTTTCATACCCATTAAAACATTATTTTGAGAGAAATTATGGAAACCTTTTGGCTTGAGCTAAGTGCAGGCAATATTCATGATTATTTTTAAGTAAATTGAGCGACTTGACTGGGCACAAATCAAACACGGACTTCTGATTTGTATCTTCATCTCTGGCAGGGCAAATAAGTAGTTTACCTTGGGACTTAGCCTGAGTCATTTGTTGTCTTGCATTCTTGCCAAAGCTTTTCAGGCTCTGGCTCTTGCTGTTGTTTTATCTTTAATGTAGTTTCATCGTTATATATGGAATCCAGTCGGTTGGGAAAGGTCAGGCTGGCAGTTAAAAGGGTCGCTTGGGTATAAATAGAGGAAATAATGCTTAAAGGTAACTATTATTATTCAATCAGACCTAGTAGCTTGTACAGAGTGCGGAGTGCAACAGGAGAGTGGAATTTAATTTCATTTCGCTTGACTTTTAGTTTGATATTTCAACAAAAAGCGAAAGGAGGTCAGGATGCAGTTAGGGAAAATGGATGAGAGGTGAATGGAATCAGCCGGAAACTGGTCGCGAACTTGTGGCCACGTTGCAGCCAATTCAGGTGCTCAAATGCCAATGAAGTGTTAACACCTAAAATTGCCAAAAGCGGTTCTCCTGCCAACTGTCGCATCCGGTGAAATTTTTGGCTCTGTTGCTGAGCGGAATCCCCAAGCAAAAATCGATGGCATGGCAACAAAATGCAAAGCTAAAATCCTTCGGAAGAGCAAAGGGGTAGCGTGGTGACGTGCCGGAAATCGGCGGTTCAATCCAATCCAATCCAGTGCATTCCCCCAATTCCCCGTGCCTGTGGTGCCGGAAAGCCGTGTCAATGCGTTCCGGTGTCGCGAGTGGCGTGTCGCATATCGTGCCCCCTGGCAGCTACCCGCCATATTGGTTATGCAATTTGATTTCAATCTCACTTAACCACCCACTCGCTCACTCAATGTTATTTGTTTCCTCTTCGCAGATGGTCATTGGCTCACGTGATATGATTTGAATAGAGGCCGGCTAAGTGCAAAAAGCTGCAATTGGCAATTTGCATGTTGTGTGGCTTGCGTTGATGGATTTTCTCTAAGTCGCCACGAAAAATAAGGCCACTATTCGATTGAATGCAGAAGAGGCAGCAGGAGCAGCAGCATCAGAAACAGCCACCGCATCAACCAACAGCAAGTGCAATATCTGTAGCAGCTGGAGAAACAAGAGAAGCAACAACCGCAACAAGAACAACATGTTGACAACACACCATCTGCATCACCTGCACCATCATCGAGGCAGCACCGCCGTGGAATTGGACAAGATCACGAATCTAAATACGGTTAGTGTTGCACACCACAACGAAATTTTAACGAGAAATCATGATTTGGAAAGTTTGTTCTCTGCATCTAAAGACTGAAAGACTTTTGAAATGTTTCACTGAAAATGCTTGGGCAGCATCCCAGCAACATTTAAGGGCAAACATTTTGATAATAAATTCATAGCTCCGATATTTTGCCTGTAGGATACCCTCCTTGAGGGAGCATTTAGTTTTAACAACTTCGACTGCAATGCATAAGCATTGCCAAATCAATGGAAACAATTAATTTCACTGAAGCTCTTGTAGTCCCCTCACTCTAAGATTTCAAAGTACACACATCTATCAAGCATTCATACTAAGAATGTAGGTTTACCATGCACAGATGCGGCTTAACAGATGATGAGAGTTATTGAAAGGATTGCAGGGATAGAGAATGAGAAGCGTTAGCTGACCGAACCCACTGCTCCGCCCACCCGCTGCCATTTTAAACGAGAAGCTCTTGACCATACACAAAAGTTGTCTAGCTGGAAAATGAAAAATGTGGCTGTGAAAAACGAGAGGGCAACGGGAAACACAACCAGCGAGCGAACTGGACTGGACTGGCAGCAAAAGGAAAATGTGAAACACGTTTATTGCCATTCATTATATTCTCGCGAGCTGTTGCGCAAAGTAATGAAGCACTTTTATACGAGGCAGCTCCCCTTTCACGCCCTGCCCACGCCATTCAAGCAGCCACTGCCGACATGTTTTTGCTTTTCAAAAACAAAGGACGAAAGGGAACCGTGGCCCAGAGTGACGAGCCCTGACGGTTGTGTGGTTCTTAAGAAAAATCGCTGGCTCGTCTTGGCCTAGAGTGGAAATAATAATTTTGGGAATGGCCACTGCAGTTTGGTATGAAGTGCGTGCGTCCGTGCCAAAGGAACTACACAACCAATTTTCATTAAATGAGCTCTCTGTGTGCCGCCAATACATCTTCATTAATTTTGAAAAAATGTATGGCTTGTTTGTGAAGACATTTGGTCGACGCTTCTGTCTTTTTCCGGCCTTGGCAGCCAGACCACTATAAAAACTGAAAACTTGTACTTAACTTTAGCGGAGCACATTTGTCTTACCCGAAGGGCAAATGAATGTGGGTTTCCCCTTTTCCGGAAAGGGAACCTCAACAGGACAGAAGGCCTTCAACAAACAAAGGATCGTGTTCAAGGTCCTCACGCACACATTAAAATTAGTGGCTTTTGTTGGCCCGGGTCATGTCACTCTCAATATAGTGGCAAGGTATCCGCTAAGCTGCTCCCCGCTGCCTGATTGTCAGTCCGCTTGATTGATAATGTAAACTGAGCAGGACAGCCCCACCCCACCCCGCCACTCTACCCAAGCTCATCATCGTTATTCCCGGCTATTGAGTGCGTATCCGTCCACTCATCTACAAACAGTGGCAGGGAAATAAAAGTCGGACTCAAGTCTTGTCTAGGCGAACATCTTATCGATTTTGCGGCTTACAAGTTCTTCTTATCACTCCCGCCAATGACCCAAATGCACAATGAAATCCGTACTTTGGTAGAAGTTTTCCAAAGAATGGAAAATGCGCAATAGTAAGAAGAATAAGAACTGAATGGAATGTTATTGAATAACTCGCTATTGCTTTTGATTATTTCCAAGTACAATAGCCTTTCTTCTTTGGTAAAGGAAACATTTGGAAAGACATAAGCTATAATTTCATTAACTTAAGTACACGGTAAACATCTATCTTTAGATATATATTTCGTTCGTTTTTCCCTCATAATTCACACTCCAAATAACTTATTATAATTTAAGCATGGTAACTACCCACAACGAAGTCTATTCAGGTACTTAAAATGAATTCTAAAATTCCAAATGCTGCCGCAATAGTTTGACTTGTGTCGAAAATACTTTCAGGAACTTAAAGGGATTTTAAATTAATTTCCGCAACCATTTTCGATTACACTGAGGCAGGACCCTCTAATCACCCTGTGTGTGATCCGACCATAACAGTTGGCCCAATCAAAATTGCTTTCATCGGCAGCGAGAGTCAAGGTATGGAGGTGGTGCATGCCCGTTGGAGCCACCGTTTTGCCATGAGCTTCAATGGTTGTTCGGAACACTTCTGCTCTTTTATTGTTGCTTTTTCCCACCCAACGAATGGTAGAAGTGCACCCACTAAAATGGGATAGGTGTTCTGGCTGGCGTCTGCTGCCAGACACAGTTGACCATTCGATATTGGCCATGTGGGTGGGACAGCTGCAGCATTGTGTTGTATTGTTGACTCCTGCCCCAAGCTGCATTCAGGCTGCCTTAGAGCTGCTACAACCGATAGCAAACCGCTGTAACGAACCTTTGTTGTGCCCTCAAAGAGGGTATTGTGCACTTTTCAAGATGATTGCACATCAGTAAAGCCAGTCAGTACTCCTCTTAGAGCCGGGGTTCGGCAAGAGTATCTTGTGCTTCGGCTAGCCTCAATCGTTTGTTTGACTTAGATGGGTTTTTGGGTAATGGGAGTGCTCTTGTGCTCTGCTGCCTGTCGACTGTTGAATGGACAGTTGGCTAGTTGGCTGCTTCCTGGGGCCTCCTGCCAGTTCGATTGTAATTATTCTACAGTTCAACTTGTTGGTTCGCTGGCTAATGCGTTTTGCCATAGCACTTTGTTACTTTTAGCCCCCGCCCGAGCAATTGTTGTGCCTGCCTCTGTCTCTGTGTTTGAGTGAGTGAGAACGCATTAGCAACAAGCCGTTATCAAAGTTTTTGCAGTTCTAGTTGCAAATGGTTCGTGTTATTTAGGAACTGGAGTGGAATATCAGCTGGGTGTGGCTCATCTGTTGGCCATGTGCTATCAAGGACTCTCATAATCTTAGCTACCACCTTTCATTTGTATTTTACGCAAAGTTAACTATTGGAAACAGCTGACACATTTTTAACACTAATGTGTGAGAACCAAGAATATGAAACCAGAGTTTAGGTTTCATTTATGCATGAATTTTCATATTTTCAGACTAGTCTCATGTTTATGCAACGCACAGTAATCATTCTGGCCATTGTCACTTTGCTGTTTTGGCCCTGGGCTAAATACACTCAATGTACGAGTATTCAAAGGACACTCTCTCTCTTTCCCAGAGTACATACATACATACATATGTACATAATGTCATGTGGACATGCCCACACAATCACTTCGTTACAAACGCTGTCTGTCTTTGTTTCTGTCGGATCCTCTCTTTTGTATTGCAATTTTAATTTCCGCTTTCACTTTGTCTAGATTCAGTTTTACTTGTCGCCGTTTTCTTTTGTGTGTTAGTATTTTCTCTCCCTGTCTCTGGGGCAAAGATGAGTACAAGTATGAGTGCAAGTATGCGGAGTATGAGTATGAGGACTCACATCCCATCCCATCGCATCTCATATCATTTCCCCAAACACAAACCGCCGAGCGCTGTCTTTGTCTTGGCATTGTGGCATTTGCGTTTTTGCTGATTTACACATTTTGTGAGCAGTGCGGGGAGGGGGAGTGGGTCTTCCTTGCCACGGCCAGCACGTGTAGCTCATGGCTTGCGGCATGTGGCACGTAGCACGCATGCAGCTCTGTGGCTTTTTGTTGCAGGCACTACGGGCAAGCGCCGGTACCTGTTTTTCAATTTTCCGCCTCAACTGTTGACGCAAAAGTAGTTCAAAGTGGTTCCATGGAATATACAACTCGTACAGCCAGATGAAAAAGAATAATACATGAATATGCATGTCCCCCTTCCACGCTGCCCCATAATTATTCCACACACACATACATACACTCATGCAAACACACAGGCGAGTAGCATGTACTTTAAATATGGGGATGTACATCTTTTGTGGCACACATTTTAGCTGATGTTTCCATTAGGGCCACGGCACGGCGCTTATTACTGGCCAGCAAGAAGCCGAATACCGCGGCAGAAAAACGCTCTGGGAATTGAATTTCCCTCGGACTTGTTTGAATGAAAGCCATATGTTCTCTTCGTTGTATGTCCAAAGGTGTTTTTTTGTGGAATCAGCCAGGTAATTTCAGAGATGTTCTGGCGGCACCCAGTACTGGATGAAAGCTCGGGCAGGTTAGGCAGCGAGCTTTATTTGGTTAGTCACTGAGTAACAGGTACCTCTTAGTCGTATTATAAACTATAGTAAAACTCGAACAGGTTTTGTGTTCTGGTTTAGCACTGCTTCTTTGGCGCTCTCTGGTGTCCCTCGTTATGCCAGGACCAAAGACGACAAGCGTTTACATCTGGGATTTGCATGTGCCGCATGAACTTTTTGCAATTCTGTTTTCCCCAACTCGGTTTTTGTTGCGTCTTTATCTCAGCCGAGATTTGAGCGTCATATAAAATTTATGCGTGTGGCTTTTATGTGCTTACACCTATGTACATTCAGGTGGTGTTTGTGGCTGGCTTTAGTAGTGTTATATGTTTTATGAGGCCCAATGGCTGTGGCTCTCAGATGGCGGAAAAAAGTAAAATAATTAGGACGGACAACAGAGACAACTCACATCACTGCTGGGACTCCTTGAACCAGGGATTGTTAAAGCTGTGGATGAAATATGGCAGAGATTCCCTTTTCAGATAACAGTCTTGGAATTAAAAGTGTGAGCTCGTCCCTCATTGTCGGACTTGGAAGATACTCTAAAAAGTAGTTTATTACCAGACCGTCTCTCTTTTGAATAACTTCTTCATTAAGTTTACTAGTAGAGACTCTCCTCAAAGTGAGCCTAAAATGTAGCCATATTTTCATCTGTCAATGTTGAACAAGCTCAAATCGTATCCACCCAAAAATCCAGCCTCACTGGAAAAACAATCAATCCAATAAATTTAGCTGCACAGGCAACAGCTGATGGAAAAGTTTTGCCTATGCCATCGCTTTGAGAATGAATACAAAACCATGGCCCCGCCCACGCAACCCGCCCCAGCTTAGAAAAGTTTTGAGGAAATATCGTACTGGCAGCACTTTCAATAAGCAATTTGGTTAAGTGCTGCCTCTGACACTGCCTCTGGCTCCGGCCCCAGATCTGGCTCCGACACTGTCACTGTCACAGTCGCTCCTCCTTCTGCCGGCATTGTCAAGCCAATGTCATCAATATGACTAATCATGCATATATTTCATAAAGCTGTAAATCCTCTCAATCCTCCACTTCTGAAATCGCACACAGCTGTTGGCCCACCAAATTGAGTCAAGCCACAGAATTCACTTTGCATTCGCTGGTGGAGAGGCAGGTTTCCGGCGTTCGAGGATTATTAAAATTACGCATACGCCGCGTTTTAAATGAAGTGCACGACCAGCGATGGAGGGGAGGTTGAACGTATTACTACGTGGAAAATGAGGTTGCCAGAGTTAACCATTAATATTTAAACGTGCTGCTCAAAATGTATGTGGGCGTGGCACGCACGCACCTGTGGAGGTGTGTGTGCGGGCGGGATTGGCATTGGATTAGTGCGAGTAATGCGGAAAATTAGGCCCATGACGGAGGTAGCAAAAGAAAATGTAATTAAAATACAGCTGCCATAGAAATTTTGTTGCTGATGAGGAGGAACCCTTCAAGATTTAATTGGGAATTTTGGATACTCGGATGGCTTACTCTTAATTATGATTAAATAAAAGGATCTTCAAGTTTTTAAATGAAATATAAAATTCTTGTATCGGATGATCTATAACTTCATAAAATATTTCCCATTATATGGAAATATTCCTACTTAAATATTCGCCTCGAAACTACTCAAAAGTTGTTTAAAGACAGGCCCATGGCCTAAGTAAGTGCCTAGAAAATTTGTACAGTATAAAGTCAATAATTTTTGACTTAATACACTTTTCAGCAGCAGCTCTACGTTTCTGATGCCGATGCTTGAAAAGGCTAACCAACCCTAGGAGCAGTAAAAGGGAGCCTTAATAATCCTTGCATTGCCAGTCATTTTAATTTTTATGAGCCCGATTTGGCCGCAGGCAAAGGCAAAGGAATTAAGGCTCGATTGCCCGATTCATTTGCCGCCTCCGTTTCGGCAATGAGCCGTAAAAAGGGCAACAACAAAACCGACAAAAGCAGCAGCAGCAGACGCCGCCGGCTCAGTTTTATCTGGCTGGGAAACTCCCAGAAATTTTCTTTGGCTGAACGAACAGCCAGAGCCTGAACAAATAGGCTACTGCCTGCGGTTATTGGAGAGGGTTCTCGGAGCCTGTTGGCTCTGCATAAATTAAAATATGTAATGTGCTATGTGCATGGCCTAATAGAGAGCTTTGGCATAAATTAAGCATCAGTTGGCTGTCGTTGACCCTGGCTATACATTCTGATATATATCATACTGATGAAATATACTCTCTGGTGTACTTTCAGCTCATCGTGGAGATCAACAGCCATGTGGCACTGTTCCGTGATATGCTGATACACGTGGGGCAGGCCAAGGATTGCCCCGAGCTGCGCGAAAAGATACGCAAACTGCGTCGCACCTGCGTGGAAGCATTCAAGCACACCGCCCAGATACTCCTGCCGCAGGTCAAGAGGTAAGCACATACCATCTGCCGCCATGCATCCTCCTATCTAAACAAAATTCGGATACCCTCAAGGGATCCCATTAACATAAACATAAACAGCAACGTGTGTGTGACATTTTAGGACCTTATTCTCCATTTCCGTTTCCATTACCGCCTCTCTATCTGTTTGTGAGTGTTTTATGGAAATGTATGCAAATCTAATTGCAGTCAAATTTACTACAGCGCCCAAAGAATGATGGATGGAGAATGGGATGCGGGTGAAAAGGATAACATAAATATAAATTTGTTGGACTCGGATTGAAGCCTCCCGGTATGCTTCTCGAAATGAGTTAGTGGCTGACTTTGAAATTGAATTTAAAAAATGATGCATAATTTATCAGCTGTTCCCTCCACAGCGAGGAGATCGACCCTTCCTTTCCTCAACAGCAAAAGTTAATAACATTTTTGTAAACTGCCTCGGGAAAGCACAATGTTTGGTAATTTTTTTCATTAAACCTGATGAAAGGAAAAACATTTGTACAATGTGCGAATGCAGCTATGAAAAGTATTCTGTGAAAAGAAAATTGGTTCAGAAAGGGAACTCGCTCCAGCTGTCACGAGAACCAATCTGTTGTATAGATGCACTCCAGAGAGCTCCAGTTTCCGTTTTGTCTCATCTGGAATCGAACAAAACTTTAACATCCGCGTTGACTTTACGGGTTTCCCCCAGCTCTGTGCTGTCTGTTTACCGACATCAATTTATTGATTTATGCCCTGGCTGATTCATGAAATGTTACAAAATTGAAATCCCATGTGGATGCCACACATCTGCCAACATCGCACCCCAAAAAATTACAGAGAAAGAGCCAGAAAGAGAGCAAAAACTTATTTTTCAACAAACAACTTGAGGAAAATTTCATATACATAAAATATTTGTAATTTCCGACACACAATCCATAGAACGTGCTCTCCTGTCAGTGTGTTGGGTGTCTCTCATATGCTTTTTTGGGAGTACAACTTTTTAAGCACACCATGGCAGCATATGACAATGTGATTTATTATCTAGCAGACGCTTTAAATGTCACTCAAGAGTGGAGAAATGTCAATATAACGAGACGAGCATCAGCATCAGCATCAGCATTTCGTCAAAGTATAGGTATGGATGTGTATGCTCGTAGGCAAAGATGCAGGATCCCAAGGAAGTGGCAAGGAATGAAAGCAAAAGTAAGAGCAACTATGGAGGAAACGACAGTTAAATTGATGGTTGGCTGGCAGTCAGCCAAAGACAGCAGCAAAAACAGCAGCGAAAAAAATAAGATTTCAATTAATTTCTGCTTTATTGACACAAATGAATGACTCCGAAGAGAGGCTTGGCTCTGTCATCCTCCTCCTTTTCGAGATACCATTGAGCAGGTTAAATTTTCGAATGGGCGCACATGGCGTACGCGTGACGACAATGAATTAGCAAAGCGACTGAGGCTCCTGCCCCTTACAGGTCCTCAGCCGGGGCTAAAGTTAAATTGAAAGTAAAAGTTCAAAAAAGCAAAAAGCATGCTCCCAAAAATGAACAAAAGGGAGCAGAAATCGTTTGGAGTGGGGGAAGGAAAAACTTCAGACGCAACTTGACAGTGCCACAGCCAAAAGTTTCAGACACTGTTTCGTTGTTTGGCTCTTTGCTGCTGTTTTATGTTTTGTAAACACATGCATGACATACATACATGCATTTCAGGCAGCCAAGTCAAAACACACCTCGATAGAGAGAAAGGCGCACACAACAAGCAAGAAAGATAAAAGAACAAAAAGCCAAGAAATACATTTAGTTGGCAGGTTCGCCATAAAGAATACTGAATACCCTATCGGGAGAAGGTATATGAAAGGTTATTAACAAAGGTTATGAAAATAAGTATGGTTTCGCCCAATATTCTTTAAATATTTTATAAGAGAAGTACCTCTAAAATTCCCATTTACCGCCCATTTGTATGGTTTCAGTAGTCAAACAACATGACAAAGTTGTGATACCTTGTGCACCTCATTGCCAGGAAGTGGTTTGGCTCTCCCTTCGAGGGCGCGAGAAACAGACAGAGAAAAAAGCTCTGCTCGGCTCGGCACCGACTACCTTGGAATAGACACCCTGACATTCGCTTTGCTCGAGTCATTCCCATTTCCACTTCCACCCCCAGGTTCCATTTTCACTCGCGTGGCTGGAGAGGGTGGCAGCACTTTGCCGACTGCCTTAAGTGACTGATAGTTGTTTGCCTGGTTGTTTGTTTGCCCAGTCGTACATACACATATCCTTGGAGGCGACGTTCGGTCCATTTCCCGTGTTTGAGTTTGTCTTCCTGTTATCTATCCATCTGTCTATTTACCTTCGCTTACTTCGCATTTGTTTCTCTGTTTGTCCTGTAGTTATGTGTAGTTGTTAGTTGTTGCTAAATTACTGTCGCTGTCGCAGCCGTCGCCTTTGTTTTAACCACTGTCCTCGCCATGGATCTACTGTTTTGACAGTAAGTTAGTCACCAATATTCTAGTGTCTAGGCCCATTCCAGTTCCGTCTGCTGGGCACTGCAACGTCTCGTGTGTGTAAGCGCATTTCCTCTGCAAATAATACTCGGACGTCTCCTCAGAGTCGTTTGTCCTTGGTAGTAGTCCCAGTGCAGTGGTACCGCTCCCACGGAACACAATTGCTTACGACCCGTGACAAGAACATAACACAAGGATTATGCCCCTCGGTTACCCCATCAGAGTCAAAGCCAATCTCATAGACGTCGTCGATGGCGTTGTCTGCGGCTTGTGTCGGAAATTTTATGTTTCCTGCAACTGCTGCGACCACTGCACGGTGGGACAGAAGTGAACAAAAAGTATGAAACTGAGAGAACTGAGATGAATCCGTGGAGATTCATGGATTAATTAATGGATCTGAGTTGTGATTGCTTAAAATGTGTGACAGAAAAAAAGGTTTTGGGAAACATTTTCCAGTATTAAATTTCATAACTGAAAGTTCTACCGCTTATAAACCATTCCGTTCCATAGTACCTGGACTTGCTGCTCCTTATGCTTCTGTTGCATTGTTTTATTGTCGCTGCCGGCAATTTCGTTTATTATTTTGACACTTGATGCCGGTTCCGGGACACCGGATGATGCTCTGTGGTCATGTTAGTGAAAATGACAGCAAATTATTGAAAGACTGGAAACCCCGCACACCACCCCTGGTACTGGGTCAAGTTTTGTCATGACGGATCGTCACGTCACGTAGCTGAAGACATTCGATTGTAGGAATTTTGTTTCCCTTAGACGTCTGCTGTTTATATGGACATCATCGTAAATTGCGGCCATTTTAACAACTTTATACAGGCTGCAGTTAATAACTTCGATTGGGCAGACAAAACGGCATTGAGATCCTTTGATAAAAGCACTTTATGAACCTTCATCCCTGCTTATATTTCTAAAAATTTTCCGAGAATTTGCTTGGGTCGTTTCGCGTTGGGTCTAGCAGTGGGGAAAAATAAAAAATATTTCACTGCTATTCGCAATAAATGAATGTAACGTCCGAACTGTAATCAAGACCAGCTGCTGACAATGGTTTGCCGTTCCCAATTTTCTTTCTTTTTTTTTTGGTTCTCCTCTATTCCTCTGTTTGTAGGGGGTTTTTGGATGCTTTGCAGATTTCGTTTTGTTGCTTCAACTTATTATTGCGATTTTGTTGGTGTTGTTGGTGAAAATGACCCACGTTAATGTCCGCGCACCGCAATCTGCCAGAATAACGAGAGATGGTCCCTTCTACAAACGAAGAGAAGGGTGGGGGAAATCATTAAAACATTTGCTCTCTGGCATTTACAGCTTGCAGTTTTTCACAGAAAATCGCTAAGCATTAATTTGATTACATTTTAAGCATATTAAATGTCCCGAAAGTGTTCTTTTTTTTTTTGGTTATTAGAGGGTATTGTGGTTCGAATGAGCAGATGGATCTTATGAATTTTATAGGTAAAAGTGCTTGTCTAGTGTGTGTTTAAGAAAAGTTAAAAAATGGTAACATTTATTATTTAGAAAAAATATTTAATTTTTTTAATTACGGTTCACTCAAAGTTCGTTTAGAGAACTTACTCTCTGCAGAAATGATTGTTGGTACTAGTACACACATTTGGGACGTTGTTTTAATCAAAAACCACACTCAAATTATACATTTTCCTTGGCCTACTCCACCGCCAATCAGCTTTCGCTTGAGCCCACAACGAGAACCCACATCTAAATTGCTTTAAGCTGAATCCTCTACAAAAACTCTCCCACACCCTCCCAAGTGCAGGTCGCACAGGCACACACACACCTTGGGAAAGATTAATTCGCAATTTATTTGCTTTAATGCCTTCCAGAAGCAGGTCGGAGTCGGAGTCAGAAGACACGGCAACACTTTCAGTGTCCGTTGGGATGGGGGGTAATTCTGGTAAAATATGTATTTCTCATTTCCAGCTATGCGGCACCGCTCGCTCCACAGAGTTTAGGCAATGCAATAGCAATTTTACAAATTGAATTTATCCCTGTGTTGCTGTAAATATGTTTATGGCAATTTATATTTGGGTCCCTTTCCTGACTTGCGACTTGAGACTGAGTTTTGTATACGTATATCCCATTCATAATTGCCCTGTCTGTGTCGCAGGGCTGCTTCTAAAACTGAAATTAGTGTCAACTAAGCAGCAATTTGCGAACCGACTGTAAATTCCGAGTGTTTTCCAAATGAATTATTATCTGGGAATCCGAATCGAGAGAGCTCTCTCGTACAATTGCATAAATTATTTTGGACATAGCGAAAAATTAAAATTAGTTTCTAGTGTTGATCGTAGATTACACAAAATTATTGCTAACTCATCGCCCAGTGTCCAATTGATATTAATGGAACATAAACATTATTTTATCTAATTTCAAATAAATTAGTGGGGAATGGCACTAAATATGTTTTAGCTGAATTCGTATTGCGTCAACAATTTTATAGAACAGTGGCAATCTCTAAAAAATCAGCTGCTGCACGACAACACACCACAGTTTAACTGTTAAATATAAAATCGAAAAAGTCGATGTAAAACTCGGACGGAAATGAATTAGTTGTCGCGACTTAATGACCCTCGCTCTGAGCTCTCACCCACGTCATAAAAAATGTTATAAATTCATATACATTTCATTCCACAATATCCGCATGCAATTTGGCGTGCCACAAATGTGGCCCACACAATGCGGCATTCCAGTTCTGTAATATCCCACACACAGATGTACAATTGTATGTATGTATGTGCAATCGTAATATACATATAGCAAAAGAGAGTCCCAATGTTCATTTTACCTTGCATTGCCATTGTTTTTTATTTTGCAGCGCCATGGCTGATGGCATACTCACCGACAACCCGCACTTGGTGCTGGTGTTCTACATGGCCCAGTTATTCCTACGTGAACTTGTGAAAAGTTATCGTCTCATACAGGTCGTGCCAATGGATATGTCGGGCTATTATGGTAAGTTTAAATCCGCACCAACGCACGAATTCGCCCCACATGGGTGCTGTACATGTAACCCATGCCACTGGGAACTTGTGGGGTTTTGGTTGAGTTTTGGTTGGGTTGCTAGTTGGCAGGAGACATGTTTCAGCTGCCGCCTTGCAGTTGCGGGTCATTGAAAATTTGCTGTTGTTAGCAAATGTCAAAGTCAGACAAGGACCCTGGCACTTGGAGTTGGGTTTCGGGCTACATAATTGGTACAAACTGGGTGCTTTCGTTGCCAATTGGATTCAGTAATGCTAAATACATGTAGAAACATTTGAAATCAGCTTAGTTTTGAATTTATTGTCTCCAGGGAAATGGATTACTGTAGAAATGGAGCAAGGCTATCTTACATAGCAGTGTAGAAGGTGCATATATAGATGTAAATAGCCAACGATAATCGAATTAATAATAATTGAAATACGATATAATTGACTTTATTCGAGGAAATAATTTTCGGTTTTTGAATAAACTGACGGCTATTTTTTTCTTTAGTTCGGAACGTTGTTTCTTAATAACGTCCTCTATTGTCCTCAAAGTGTTTCTAGTAGAATTCAAGGCAGCACTCGCCATTTACCCAACAAATAGACACTCGGAGGCACACACGTTCAACAATTGTTTGGCAGTGAAGTTGCATTCCACTAGAGTGCAGCTCGCTCTGATTGGCATTCTTTGCCCATGTTTAATGTGGACGTGCAAGTGCAAATATGCACATGAACGTGGACATGGATTCTGAATGATTTGTGCGCGTGCTGACCATGGCAATTGTCGGGGAATACAAATGCGAATGGCAAATGCCAATTGTTGATCATAAATTTTTAAATTGCAACCGCTGCACTGAGGCTGGATACCGGCTGTCAATACGCAGTAAGAGAAAGAGAGTGAGAATAAATATTTACAGAGTTTTTGCCAGAGTCAGGCTCGGAGCTTTTGGTCCTGGCCCTGTTGGTGCATCGAATTTATGGCCAGCTCCTCCCCATACGTACCCCCCGCTGTGAAAATAAACAAAATTTCTGCAGTGCCATGAAAATGCCATCCACGCAGAATACGCTATACAAAATTCCAAATTGAAAACAATTTTTTTACTCTGTTTTGCTGCTGTAATTGCCAACCAAAATATTCCCAATATCAGTAGTGTGAAGTAAGCAGCGGGTTTGGGTAGCTTTATGTTAGACTTTAATTATTGCCATGCTAGCAATAAATTCATTGCACTGCCGGTCACTGAGAGTACTTTTTGTTAGTGTATCAAAACTGGCAGACAATGAATTTTGGCTTTCACAAGTCATTCAAGTGGTTGTATTTGGTAGATGAATTTTGCGTTTATAGTGCACTGAAATGACCGATCTAAAAGATTGCAATGCATTTTAGTTTCAAGCTCAATTGTTTTTGGAGTGACAGATTCACTATGTAATTAATTCGACTATGGCTATATACGCAGCCATCAACCAAAGGTAAGAAAGTCACAATATTTACATTCGGGAATGAAAGTTTGTTTAATTCTAATTGGAGATTTGAAAAGTATAAAACAAAATCATAATTTTGTGACCATTAAATTAGCCAAAAGTGTGGGCCAAAATAAGTTTTTATGGTGAATGAAATGGTCATTAATAAAACATCAAAGAGTAGGAGTATTTCCCCCCAACGCAGAACAAATCTAATGAAGCAACAAAAACGCTTGGAAAAGCAGGCAAAAAAATAAATGTTGAAAAAATAAAAGAAAAGCAAACCTCAAAGGAAAATGTTTGCATAAAAAAGTTATACAAATAAATGCGATGTTTGCGGCTGCGGCAAAGCCAAACAAAATAATTCATTTTATTGCAATGCAAACGAGATTTGTGAATAGAGCCCTGACTTGTGGCATTGCTACTCTGTTCTGGCTTTTTATGGCGCAACTTGCAAGTGCTGCTGGGTTAGTATATGGCAGAGCGGGGTTTGGCAACCACTTGACTGTGGGACGCCCATAGCTTATTGCTTTATTCTGATTTATGCCTGCTTTTTCGCACCACAGAGAACCGCGCGGGGCCCTCTAATCTGGGGAATGTCATAAGCCAAATATTGTTGTGCAAACAATTTACGCCCGACTTCAATGAGGAGGAATTGTGCAGCATCACCAAAGACTCTCAGGACATTGCCGTTCTGCTCTCCGAGCTGCAGGAGTACATGCCACAACATGAGGCATATTTGGGTGAGTACTCGTATGCGCAGGCTCCCCATTACTGCTGGTGCTGCTGCTGCTGTTTCTGTTTCTGTTGCATTGCCATAGTCGTGCACTTTGATATTTAGCCAAGGCCCGACGACGACAGTGGCACTCAGAGGAGACGAGACCGGAGGCCGTTGGGCCAAACAAAATTGTACAGCATACAAAAAAGACAAAGCGGCGACCCAACCATTAGTGTAAATGTGTCTCTCTGTTTGTGCTGTTGTATTCAGGGACTCACACAGCCTCATTCATTAATCAAACTAAATGTCGGCTACTCTTTCATTTGCTATTTGCAGAAAGGAACGCAGCCCTGGACACCACTGGACCCTGGCAGGCCAAGAGGCGCCAGAACTATATTTGCAAGAACATGAGTCTACTGTGCTGTGTCTCTAGGCCCAACTATCTCTGAGAGCAGGCCGATAGTGTTTAAGCTCCAGAAATGGTTGGCAAAACACACACAGACACACTCATTCACTACCTATATCAATTACTAAATTAAGAATTAAGATATATTCGTACTTTCCAGTATAACATGTTATAGAAGGAGGTATAAACCTCTAGAAGGAGAAGAAAGAGAGCCAGAAAAATGTATAAATGAGATGTTCTAGAAGAGTCACTGAAATCCATAGAGAAAGTTCAAAATGGGAAATCTACCCAAAGAAGAATCCGTACAAAAAAGTACCAAACAAATAGAAAAGTTCTAGAAGCGAGCCAGAATGAAAACAAGAAGAACAGAGGAATAGGAAACCCAATTATCATTGTATTATAATCAAAAGAAATGCAAAGGATGCAATGTTTATCTTCATGTGTATAACCAAAGTTAATTATGCTGCATATACAATATTAATATAAAACGAATTATAGAACAAAAGATAGAGCATAAATATGTAGAGAATTTCAACTATTAGAGTTCAGCAAAACATTTATGGAGAATGTAAGTTGGATATGAAGCCAGTTAAGACTTTTTAGGCCTGTAAATTATAGTCACTGTATAGACACGCATTATTTATGATATACTAAAGTTATCTAAATACATAAATCCTTGAGTTAACATTACGATTAGGCTGAGGTCGAGGAGGATTTGGTGCTGGGAGCAAGGCAGTTAGGTTGTAGTTCCATATGAATGTAGCCTTCGTAATTAAGTTAAAGCCTCGCCAGGCAAGTGCTAAAACAAAAGCAATAAAACACATTCTTGTTAGATCAAACACATAAACACACTCCTTAACAAATATGTATAAATATATACGAAATGTCTCTAGGTTTCCGTCTGTTCATTTCAGGGTTTTCACAGCACAGTACCTAAAAAAACAAACACAAACAAAAAACGAACAACAAACGAGCAACATGTGACCAATGAAAAACAACTAAACAAAGGAAGAACAATCTATTTAAAACTATGGTTTATTCAATCAAAAATAACATTAAATAAGTATAACACCAAAATCCCGAATAAACAAATGAGCAAACAATGAATTTCAATCAAACAAAGTTTTTGTACATTTTGATTAAACAAAATTAGGTTCGGTTCCCGAAAAAGTTAGAAATAATCACAGCATGTTTTTTCAAGTAGTCACAAAATCAAATGAAATAGTTTTATGAGTCAATTAGTAATGTTTTGTGGAGGACTTACAGATAAGTTATGCCGTTTTCCTGGTCGCCACCATATAGTTAAGCAGATTTTTTCCTTTCCCCAACACAAATGTAACACATTTATTTTCATTAAGCTGACTCAACGAAATGCTGCTTGTAATAATAATATACAGCAATTGGTTGAAAATTAATTTATTGCAGCGTCGAAATGAATAATTATATGTTTATTGTGTTGGGATAAATTGAAATGCCCTTAAATTATGCATTTTAATTTTTGTTTTACAAATTAAAATATGCTTTTAAGAACCGTACAAACTCGGTTTAATTTTAAAAATTCATATGGTATCGTGGTTAAAAAAATGTAAAGCAAAATTAAAAGCATGCGAATGCATACATAAATATTTCATGGTAAAGTTTTCAATTTTGTTTGGTATGTTCTGCATTCTTAATGCCACATTAACTGAACGATATACAACTTTTTGTTAGCTTCAGTATTGTAAATCAATTTAGCGGACAAACAAAAACAAAATAATCCATCATGGGCCGCGCGACAGCAGACAATGGAATTGTAAAAGTCTGTAAGAACCCCCGAAACACAATGAGACAAGTGCATGGCAAATATTTGTAAAATGTTTGAGCTCAACAATGGATATATACATACATACATATATACTACTGCAAAAGAAAATAAAAAAACAGAGTACAGAGAAATTATATTCAAATAGGAAATATAATAAAATATATTTATTTATTGATTCAATTCGATTCTAGGCATAAATCAAACACCAAACAAATTTACACATATTTAGAGAGGATAGAGTTGGATAGAATGTTTATGATATTGATGATTATTTATCTGTATATGAATGTATATTGCTTAGATCGTTCAAATAAGTATTCCAGCAAACCCAATAAAACAACAAATAGTGATTGTTATATGATATTCATATAAGAATTATCTGTATGTATTTACTAATTGTTTCTTCAAGTTGTTTGCAACCAAATGCCACTGAGAATCAACTCAGAAACTCACACAGAAACACACTAGAAACAAAGAAAAGCCGAAAACCAAAACTGGGTACCAATCAAATATAAATAAAGCTATTTTTAGAGAAACTAAAACTTAAAGGGTTCTTTACTTTGCGTCTCCTTTAAGCGTTGAACAAATGAAAGAAGGAAGACCAACAGCAGCAGTCCTTCTCGGGGGAGAGAAGCGTTAAATTGCTGGCCAACGTGTAACGCAAAATTTATTATACTTCATAAAAGACCGATTAATGTTTATATATGTGATTTTATCACGAACACCCAAGCCACGATATAAGGGCATATGTACTAAAACATTAGAATGGGAGGTACATGGCTGCTGTTGATGGATCGAATCGGTGGTACCTCTTTCAGATGTGCGGCTACTAAAAGAGTTTTGTTGAGCTTTGTTGATTTATGTATTTGTTCTATTCCAAGTCATGTCTGGGATGTTTCAAGAAATATTTAAAGTGGCAAATTCAGCTTCTCTCTAAAAAAAACAAAATATTTTTGACTCGGTCCTACCGTTTTTATTGTTCCGTTCCTTATATACTCTTCTACAGGTATTCCCATTACATCAGCTGCATTAAATTGTTAAGCTAAAATCCTTCAGGGCCTGCCAGACATCTGAGACTACGTGCCATGGCATTAAGGGCCAGCCAACGTGTTCGACAATAGATACGTCTTAATCAATCTTAAACTGATGCCAGCTTCCTAAGAAGCCATCTTCCTGTTTATTTTAAACGCACTTTCAGACAGCTTCGGATAAGCTTAGGGAGAGTACATTAAGGTAGAGGGGGAAAATCAGTTTAAAAGTTGCAGCAAGGAACCAGGAGCCAGGACACAGGAAAATGGAAATTGCATGGTCACGTAGGTATGGCGTCAAGAACTCTATGTAAATTAGTTGAAAAAGTTGTGCGAAAGCGTGCTTGCGATTGCCTTTTGATGTGGTTACTGGTGTGGGAATGCGTCCTTGGGGTTTGGTTGAACAAGCCTACAAACTCGACCTCCATCGAGTACGTGCCGCCCTTTCCAAAATGCTTCACTTACCGCACACACTTCGACACCTTCGTCGATGGCATTGGATGTGTTTGTGGCTCTGACTTTGGGTCTGACTGCGACAGCGGTATGGCTTATCTTTCAGTCAGACGTGAGGTGTTAATAGATTTACGTGGCTGCCGTGCGTCCGTGTGGCAGCAACAGTGAGCAATGTACTTGCCGCACTTCAAATGCCAGTACTCGTACTCGAGCTCGCTGTTGAGGACTGCCAGCGGCTCCAAATGACAATGGGGCACGCATGCCGTGGCGCATGCCACTGGCGGCTCATTATGCCCCACAATGAAATGAAAACAAAAAGTAAAACAACCAAAATAAAGAAGAGAAAGATTTGCAATTCAAAGTGAAAAGAAAAGAAAGAAGAGAAAACAAAGAAGGTTAAAACAACAGAAACACTACAGACGATGGCGTCAAAAGTTGGCTAAGCAAAACGGAAGTTGACATTATTTTTGTTTTCCCTCGTTTTTCTTTCTTTTTTGAAAAGTGTGTATGTGAGGGACACAAGGGGCTGGTGGAGTGGAGTTGAGTGGCCAGCAAACAAGTTGCTCCGAACTCCTACTGTGATATACATATATCTGTACATATATATACGAGCTCACAGCCAAAATAAATGCCAACAAGGATAATTCAGGGCTAATCCGATTTAGTGCGTTACCCAACGGCGGCTTCTGGGGATCCGCGTCTGCCTGGACCTGGACCCTCACAAAACCCTCTTGATTATGTGCCGCTGTGGTCCTTCCTCTGCAGAGTCCTGCTTCCAACCAAACAATGCCATCCGTGGCCAATGTCCTGGGCATTTAAGAGGCAGCTGATGCTGGTTAGCTGGCCAGCTTAAATCATGGTAAACCATGGTAAAAGCAAGTCCGAAAGAGTTCCGCAAAAAAAGTTGATCAGACATTATTAAGTTGTAAGTTGTACAAATCCTGGAAGCCAACGAAATGTTTTCCTCTTGTGTTAGTTTTTATTTACATCTGTCCTTTCCTTTTAGAAAATTACATAATTTATTTATTCATATGTATAAATATGTACATATGCATGTATATGTTAATGATATTCAGAAACTATGGTTCAAAAACTACGAAAGTTACCTTTTAGCGATCACACAATCTATAAATGTATCTTTCTTTACAAATATTTCAGGCAGTAATCAAATTACTTTAAAATTTCCTAGAATTACATTTATTATCTTTTAGATGGAAATGGATTTCCTACAAATTCAGTTTTCTCTTCGAGTAAATCCTTTGCATTGTTCGTCACTAAACCTTTGCAGATTTCCCTGATACTTTTACCCACAACTCTCCACAATTCTACCCACTGTTTGTCATTCTCTCTTTTCTGTGTGTTTCCACTGAACATTTGTATGTCCTCCTCTGTCTCTGTGTTTGGTGGGTTGGCTTTTCCAACAAACTCCTGACTTTTTAATGTTGTTTGATGCGTCTCGTGGCGGTCCAAATTTGTTGTAGCTGCCGTTTCGGTATTCCCTTTCATTGTTTTTGTACGCTTAAAAATTAAAAACATAATTTTCATGTAGCCATTCGCATTGTTGTAGCCAGCTCTTTGCATAATTGAATACCATGGTCGACCAGAATGACAATGCCATGGCCGCAGTCCCCAGTTTCACTTCCAGCCGCAGCCAGGGACATGACCACACAGGACAGGACGCTATACAAGACACACAAGAGGGCAGGGCTCGAGCTAACTTATTGACTTGGAGTTTGAGTCTTTCTGTGCGTGTGGGTTGCGGCTTTTGTCTGCGTCCGTGGACAGGTCCGGGTCCCTGCCAACTGTGGTCTTAAAGACAAAACGCCGAGGCTATTGTACAAATAAGCACAGCCAAATCTGTCTCAGACGGCTGCAATTGCTCAGCTCAAAGTAGTAGCCATCGAACTGGGGGCGAATAAAATGTGAATGAAAATCGAGCGCTGACCCCAGCTCTTTACCATTCTACGCCACATCATATGCTATCTTATCAGAGTATATAAATCGAGAGTTTGGCAGCGACTTAAAGCTGAAATATACTTGGAAATTTAATGAGACTGTTTTCTCCTCCAAGGGGAGGAGGGGCACGTGGAAGCTTCCGTTAATGCCAAACCGGCACACGTGGCCTATGCGCAATAAAACTCAAGCGATAGCTAATCACTGGGGAGGGAGGAGGATTGAATACCGAAACTCTTAAAGTCATCAATTAAAGCACACATTTTTGGCAAAGTAAACTCAACAATATTTTTAGGAAAAGTGGTTAGAAGAGAGCTTAGGAGTCGAATCGATACACAAACATCTAGCGGGGTCATTTAGATTTTTTCATTAGAACACTGATTGACACGCGTTGCCTTTCCGTTGTCTTGGATGGATGCTGAGTTCTTTTCCTTCAGTGTAAATTCGGTTTTGGTGTGCATTTTTGTTGTGGCCATCTGCCCCGGAATCTGTTTGGAAAAGCTAAAACCATTTCACTTTGCACCCGAAAATGCCACAGTTGAGTTTCGTTTTTGTCTTCTCCCCGCTTAGAAATGCACAAAGGAATTCCCCAGCAGCGTGGCCCACTCAAGAGGCGAGTGGTTGGGAAGTTAAAAATGCATTCGTGCTGCTCCTTTTGTGAGTTTTTCGAATTGCATGCGACAAACTTTATAATTCAATTGTGGCTCTGAACCCCCTGTAGTGTGTCAAAGGCCGACGCCCGCGCGCTCACATGTTCATGCAGAACCAGAACGTGTGCCAACTTCGAAATAAGTTATTTTAATTCGGAATTAAAGCACTTGTAGCTCAACCACAAAACCACCAACTTAATTCAGGCAGGATGCACCACCAAAGCACCACCACCCACTCCGAGTACAAATAAATACATACAAGTACGCCTACTCGATGGACAACCAAATATTCCACCTGACATTCTTAGGTCAGGTTGAGGTGTCCCCTCATTATTAGTATGTCAATTGTAATTAAGCATGGAATGTCCTGCTTTTCACCTGTCATATGTATCTTAGCTACATTCCTTGGTCATTGAGTTATGGTGTACATACATTAGATGATAACTGGTAATGTGCGGAACTGGAATCGAACTTTTAATTGAAGTGACAGTGTTAGTTAATATTTAATCTGTAGAGTAACGTGGTAAAAAATATGTATTCATTTGTTATAAATCTCTTCTGAGGTTCAGGACTGGCTTTACGTCCAGGACGTCCATAAAACGAACATTGGTAAATTTTTAAAACAATGCTGTGAGTCCGTCCTGACTGTCCTGAATGGAGACATAAAGACTAGGTCCAGGATCTGCATGGAGTAAACAGGACTCAACCCAAGAATCGGCTCCTAAAACGTATTCTGGAGCAGGCTCGTTTCTCTGATGGCGCCCTCTTGATTTGGGCGCCCGACTACCCTCACCCCGGCACGGCCCTATTTGGTAAGCTGCTGCCAAAGTTCCTAAAACAGAAAAAATCAGCGCCACCACGGACATGAGACAACAGGGTGACATATGTTGTCTCTTTTAGCAGATACACAAACCTCAAATGCTTGATTTGCGTGGGGTTTGGGCATTGGCTAAATTGACGCTTTTGTAGCTTTTAGCATTTTTCCGTTGCAAGCGGGACTATACAAAAGTATGTAG